CCTGTGGTCTCTCTCATGTCAACAATTCACTCCAACCCAGGCAGATTCCATGGATCTGTAAATGTTTCCAAGCATCTCTGTTTAAAACCCTTATGTAGTGCATAAATACAATGGAATTTAGCCTTAAAAAAGGAAGGAAAATTCTGACACATGCAACAATATGAACATTATGCTAAGTGAAATAAGCCAGTCACAAAAAGACAAGTAGTGTATGATTCCATTTATGTGAGGGACCGAGTAATCAAATTCATAGAAAAAGTAAAACGGTGGTTGCCGGGGGCGAGGGGAGCTGATGTTTAACAGGTGTAGGTTTTAGTATTACAAGGTTAAAAATGATTCTAGAAATAGGCTGCATAACAGTATGAATGTACTCAACACTACTGAACTTACACTTAGAAATGATTAAGATGGTAAATTTTATGTTATGGGTATTTTACCATAATTTTTAAAAAAGTTTGGAAAGAGCTAGTTTTGACAGTAGTTAGGATAATGTGCTTTATTCTGCATATTTTCTGTTAGGAATCAGGGGTTGTGTATGCTGATTGGGAGTCTAAGTAATTGAAACATGAAATTGTGTACTCATGATTAATAAATGCACATAGATTTAAAGAAAAAACAACAACAACGGACTTTCTCCATCCTATATTCTCCAGCTACCATTCTCTTTCCTGTCCCTCATGGTCAGTCAATGTTGATTAGAAGTGGTAGTAGCCTTTGTATTAGTTTCCATCATTTTACTTGGTCCGTCCTGCCTCCTTTACCTGGCCCAGTGGCTCCCTGAAGGCAGGGTGCATGTATGTCTTGGGACTCCCTTAAACCCCCCGTCTCAGCACAGTTCATGCCTGCTGAAAAGTGCTCCCATCTTTCATACCCTTGACTTGGTGAAATCTTGTATTTTAAACACATTACTTCATTCTTACATAAAATAGTTACTGAGTTGTAGTGGAAGGTGAATAAAATATAGTGGGTGAACTCCAGGAGTTTAAAATATAATTGTACTTCTTAATCTCCCACCCCACCTCTACGGTTTCCAAGAAGGATTTGATAGAGTTGTAATCTAATAAAAAGGATTAAATTTATATGTTAATAACTATAGAAGTGTTAAGAGTGAAAAAAAAAAAACTTGCTAAGGCATCAAGTGCTAACCATTTCACCATGGACTTTGTATATTCCTTATGGACCTGGCAGCTTTCCTGTAGGACACTAGCAGATCAGAGTGGACTGATGGGGTGGGGCAACATAGTGGAAGGCTTTGAATGGTAGAAGACCGTGACTTACTACAGAGGCTGGTGGGAAGCAGGGGGCTGATGAGAGCCGGGTTTGAAGAATGTTAACCTGGCTGCTCTATGCGCCTGGAGAAGGAGCCACCTGGGGACATGGAGTAGTAAGGAGCCTCTTGCAGATGCACGGATGAGCAGTAATGAGAGCTTGCTCACCCGGTGGCTAAAGGCAGCATGGGAAAAGGCACGGAGGGGAAAAAAAAAACAGGGTGCCTTGGTGATGAAGGGGACAAGCCAAAGGTCATTGTAATGGGCTTTGTCATTAACACAAATAGGAAATAAAGGAGTGGTTTGGGGCCAGACAATGCTGAATTTTAACTTGGGTATTGTAATCATTATCTAATGCTGTGTAGCAAATTATCAGAGTTTAGCGGTCAAGTTGGCTGAAAGCCAAGATGTCAGCCAGGGCTACCAGGGCTTCCATCGTCTAAAAGCCTGACTGGGGATGGAGGATCTGCTTACAAAACATCTCACTCACGTTGCAGTTGGCTGGAGGCTGTAGATCCTTGCTGGCCATTGGCAGGGAGTTTCCACAGAGTTGCTTGAGTGTCCCCACAATATGGCATCTAACTTTCCCTAGATTGAGTGATCCATGAGAACAGGCCAGGAAGAGGCTGCAGTGCCTTTTATAGCCTCGCTTCGCGAGCCGCATACCATTTCTTTTGCCATGACTTCTTCGTTAGAACTGAATCACCAGATCCAGCCCACATTCAAAGGAGGAGGTTAGGCTCTCCCTTTTGGAGGAAGGAGTGTTAAAGAATTTTAAAAACACCATTGGTGTATTGTGTTTGGAGGACAAATGGAGTAAGCATTCAGGTGAAAATATCGGGAGGAAGACATTAGGGACTTGACATAGCCAAGTTGCCTCTGTATGGGATTAGGTGACCACTTGAGCTGGAAATATTAAAGATGGAGAACTTAAGGCAAGTTTCTCTACTTAATGGTCTCTCACTGATTTTCTTTATTAGTGGTCATTGTTCCCTTTTCTACATTGTATTATTCAGGTTATTCTTTCTTTTTTTTTTTTATTTAAGGTTCCCATTTTTAATCTTGTATTATTTTGTGTGTTTTTTTCCCCTCCAAAGCTTTTTATCATAAAAAATATCAAACTTACAGAAAAGTTGAAAGACTGGTATAAGTCCATATGTGCACCATCTGGATTCAATAATTGTTAACATTTTGACTTATTAACTCTATCTGTCTATCTAATCTATCCATCCAAATATATTTTTCTGAACTATTTGTTAGGTGGCATTCGTTTTGTAAAGAAGTGCTTCCCCTGACCTTGGGATAAAACTAAAGATCCTCTTGAAGAGGCAGGTTACAGGCCTAATTCTGTCCCCTTAATTACTAATTTTCAGGGTGAAGAACTGATGTATCATTTACTGGCAATGGTAAAAAAATTATTCCTTTTTTCTTTTTTTAACATTGTGGACTCATAGTCCAAAGGGTAAAAGCATATGTAATTTTGCTACAGACAGGTATATGTTACTATATGTATACATACCCACGGTGCCTGTGCCACTTGCACTCCTACCAGCAATGTATTAAAGAGCCCTGTTTTTCTATAGGGCTCTGTTGCCAAACAGTTGGCTTTTTACTAAACATAATGAATAAGAAGTGGTATCTCAGTATAGTTTTAGCTTGTATCTCTTTTATGAAAGAGGTTGAACATCATCTTATGTGTTTTTAAGAGCCATTTGCTTTCCCTTTTCTGTGCTCTATCTGTTCACGTCTTTGGCCAGTTTTTCTAGTAAATTTCTGGTCTCTTTATTTTAAATTAAGGTGTTTTTTAAAAAAAAGTATAGTAGGGAGGTAATCCCCTTGTTTCTAATATAAGTTTACAGTATATTTCCAATTTGTCATTAGTCTTTTGACTTTGTCTATGGTGCATTTTATGACATGCCAAGATTTACTTTTACGTACTGAATTGATGTACTTTTAGGTGCATCTTTTTGTTGCCTCTGGATTTGGAGCTTCAGTTGAGAAGGTTTCCCCACACTCCTGTTGTAAAGGGATTTACACTTCGTTGGCTTCCAGCCCTTGTGCAGCTCCTACCGCTCCCCTCTTCCCCCTCCCTCTTGCTCTCCCTTCCGTTTCTCTTAACATTTGGATCTCTCCACCATTAGGAATTTATTCTGGTATACATTCTTTTTCCAATGGCAATTATGTTGTTCGTTGTTTCCTCTGAGATACCACCTTTATTATTACCAGATTTCCAAAAACTTTTGAGTTTGCCATTTTGGGGTTTTCCATCCTGTCATATAGCAGTCTGGGCCCAATCAGGAGATAGAAAGTATACAGTAGGTTCAATAGAGGAGGTTTAATGTGAAGAATTACTTACAATTAACTATACCAGGAGACTATGTATAAGACCTAAGAAAACTCTATATCATACCCTAGAACTGAGACAGAGTACCCAAGGAAGGACAGACTTGGAAGGGATCAGACCTCAGGAGAGAAGGTAGTAGCAGATATGTTCACTGGTTTAGCCAGGCCAGAGCAGGTCTGGAGCTGCAGGTTGGGAGCCGGTGATCAGCGACACATGGCGTGGTCATGCCTGGGGAGTCCAGGTACCTACCTGCGGGGGCAGAAGGCCATTAGAGTATGCAGGTCACATGATGTGTGGGGCTTACAGGGGGAACAACTTCTCAGTGTGTGACTCCTTGGGCCACAGTACGGATAGGTGATTGCGGACGGGTTATCACTGTGCTGAGGCTGTAAGTTTTCAGTGGGACTTTGGATGGACCTGTGGCTGGACCAGGTTCCATTGCATATTCTCATCCACACTGCCAGCCTCTGTCAGGGCCAGAAATCACAGCAACCTTGTCCTCCTGCAGTGTCCCTGCAGTGCCCTCTACTGAGACTATTTAGCATTGGCTCATTTTAAATAATGCAGGAATTCAGTTGTTATCCTCGCAGGGGGGTCCAACCTGCAGCCCGCAGGCTGCATGCAGCCCAGGCTGGCTGTGAATGTGGCCCACCACAAACTTGTACATTTACTTAAGACATTATGAGATTCTTTTGTGATTACATGTCGCAATGTATTTAGTGTGTGGTCCAAGACAACTCTTCTTCCAGTGTGGCGCAGAGATCCCAAAAAATTGGAAACCCCTGAAAGAGCATATATTGAAGGGTGCATTAGAAGCTGAGAGGCAGTAAATTTGATAACTGACACAGTTACATTGGTCTGTCGATTCCTTGTTCTTTATTATTGGCTACTCACAGTGTATTGAATATCTGTTAATGTTGGCCCAACTCATTAATCTGCTCTTTCAGGGAATTCTGGGTTATTCTTGATTATTTTTCCATAACAACTTTATCTAGTTCCAGGTGTTAAAAAAAGCAGCCATTTTTTATATAAGCCTGCATATTTTAATAAAAAAAATTTATAATAAATTCCCTTGGTAAAAATATTGTGGTTAACAATAGCAACAAAAGCAATAAAGAAGTAAATGAAGTAGAAAATGAGAATTTCATGCCTCACATTCCCATCCCTCTGATGTTAATATTTTCATGCATATCTTTCAGAATGTATTTCTAAGCTCATACCAATGTGTGTGTTTAATAGAAATGTTTAAACAGTTTTGGTAGGTATGCCTATATCTTTAACTAACTTCGAAATGCCTTTTGTTACTCTTTACAGCCATCATACCTGCCCATGAGACTAAAAACATTATAGTGTCCCTTCGTGGCTCTTCTCACAAGGAGTTTTCTCAGATGTTACCTATTCAAGACATGAATATAAAAAACTCACCATCTAGCCTTAACTCTCCTGCCTCCTACAACTGCAGTCAACCCATCCTTCCCCTGGAGCACGGCCCCATATATATACCTTCTTCCTACGTAGAGAGCCGCCACGAGTATTCAGCCATGACATTCTGTAGCCCTGCTGTGATGAATTACAGTTTTCCCAGCAGTATCAATAACTCGGAAGGTGGGACTGGTGGACAGACCACGAGCCCAAATGTATTGTGGCCAACTTCCGGACACCTCTCTCCTTTAGCAATCCATTGTCAGTCTTCACTTCTGTATGCGGAACCTCAGAAGAGTCCTTGGTGTGAAGCAAGATCATTAGAACACACCTTACCTATAAACAGGTAAATCTAGTCTTCATTGTAGTTCATGGGCATTATTCAAATCATTTTATGATTTAGTGAAAAGAAAGATAAGCATTATACAAGGTTCTCATTAGTCACATATAGAATACTTAGAGCACTTAAAACATGATATTCTAGAATATTCTGATATTTGAGTTCTCATTAGAAGTTGAGCTTGTAGATCTGTGTTGTGGAGAAGACTCACTAATATTACTGCTGTTTTTAGACAATAAGAGTGAACTTAAATCACTTTTGATGAAGTGATTTGAGTTTGAAAAATAAATTTTTATTTTACTTTAAATTTGGATTCTTATTCTGTAAGTGAAATTACAATTCAGTGTTCATGACAAATTGTGTCCAGGATAAAGTAAGTGTGGTGGTTTTACAACTTAAATGAGGACACTAGACATGTGAAGCCTGAAAAGACAACCAAGAATTGGTACAAAGTTTTTAAGAATGAACTAAAATAATGTTTTATAGAGATTGATGGGAAACTGTTTAAATGTAGAATTTAAATTCTAGAATTTAAAAAATTTGTACTCTATACATGCAAGGTAATATTGTAGTTATTTCTATTTGTAATACTTTTTATATATATTTTAAAGATTATATTTATTTATTTTTAGAGAGAGGGGAAGGGAGGGAAAAAGAGAGAGAAACATTAATGTGAGAGAGAAATATTGACTGGTTGGTTGCCTCTTGCTAGCCTGGACCAGGGACCAAACCCACAACCCAGCCTTGTGCCTTGACCAGGGATCCACCCGGCAGCCTTTCACTTTGTGGGATCATGTCCAGCCAACTGAGCCACACCGGTCACGGCAATTTGTAATATTTTTAATGATAATTATTGCTATGGAGAGAATGGGGCATGAGGGAGAAATAAACATCTAAAGCAACCAAAGTCTAAGTTATGACATGTTGGATATTGAAATTCCTTACTTTTAAATGCTGTTATAAAACTTCGAGAAAGCCATATTACACAATGTTTTTATTTTTCTTTTTTAAAAAACATTTTTTGTTGGCAAAATAAAAGAATATAAAAATTGTAGATAACTGCTTAAAAGTTACATTTTTCATTCAGTCTTTTTTAAAAAAACATATTACTGTATTTTGCCATATACAAAGTGTACATTTTGCCCAAATTTTTGAGGGAAAAATAAGGATGCACATTATACACAGGCAGTATATATCCATATCCTGCCTAATTCCATATCTATATATGTTTTTAATTCTTTTATTTATGCTTTTGCATTAAAAGTGTAACTCTAGAAAGCAATAGTGACATATGTATGCAAATAATACCATGGAATATGATAATCAGTTTTGTTTTTAAATTTAATAAAAAATTGAATTAAAAAATTAAAAGATTTTTTTCCTGAAACTTGGGGCCAAAAAGTGAATGCACATTATACATGGCAAAATATGGTATATTTTATTGATTATGCTATTACAGTTGTCCCAATTTTTTCCCCATTTCACCCCACCACCCAGCACCCTCCACTGTCTCTGACTATCCCCACGCTATTGTTCATGTCTATGGATTATGCATATAAGTTCTCTGGCTACTCCATTTCTTGTACTGTACTATACACCTCCACGCCTATTCTGTAACTACCTATTTATACTTCTTAATCTCCTGACCTCTTCATCCATTCTGCCACACCTCCTCCTCTCTGGCAACACTCAAAAACTCTCCGTATCCACGATTCTGCCTCCGTTCTTCTTGTTTCTTGAGTTTGTTTTTTTTTTTTTTAGATTCAGTTGTGGGTAGATATGTATTTATTGCCATTGTATTGTTCATAGTTTTGATATTTTTCTTAAGTCCCATTTAACATTTCATATAATAATGGTTTGGTGATGATGAACTCCTTTAGTGTTTTTCTTGTCTGGGAAGCACTTTATCTGCCCTTTGATTCTAAATGATAGCTTTGCTGGGTGGAGTAATTTTGGTGATAGGTCCCTGCTTTTCATCACTTTGAATACTTCTTGCCAGCCCCTTGTAGCCTGCAAAGTTTCTCTTGATAAATCAGCTGACAGTTGTATGGGAACTCCTTTGAAGGTAATTATCTGTTTTTTTTTTTTCTTGTTGCTTTTAAGATTCTCTATCTTTAACCTTTGTCATTTTAATTGTAATGTGTCTTGGAATGGGCCTCTTTGTATCCATCATGTTTGGGTCTCTTTGCTTCTTGGACTGCATGTCTATTTCCTTCACCAAATTAGGGAAGTTTTCTTTTAGTATTTTTTCCAAATAGATTTCCCATTTCTTGCTCTTTCGGTTCTCTGTCTGGTACCCTTGTGATGTGAACATTGGAATGCTTGAAGTTGTCCCAGAGGCTGCTTATACTATCCTTATTTTGGGGGATTTTTTTTTCTTGTTGTTGTTCTGATTGGTTGTTTTTAATTCCTTATGTTCCAAATCATTGATTTGATTCTCAACTTCATCCACTCCACTGTTGTTTCCCTGTAAATTGTTCTTTATTTCAATTAGTATATCCTTTGTTTCTGACTAGATTTTTTTTTTTTTATGCTGATGAGGTCCTCACTAAGTTCTTGAGCATCCTTATAACCAGTGTTTTGAATTTGGCATCTGATAGATTGCTTATTTCCATTTTGTTTAGTTCTTTTTTGGAGTTTTGATCTTTTCTTTCATTTGGGCCATGTTTCTTTATCTCTTCATTTTGTCAGCCCCCCCGTGTCTGTTTCTACCTACTAGGTAGAACTGCTATGACTCCCTGTCTTGGTAACATGGCCTAATGTAGCAGGTGTCCTGTAGGGTCCAGTGGCACAGCCTTCTCTATCACCCAGCTGGGTACTTGTGCCCTTCGTGTGGGCTGAGTACACCCTCCTCTTGTTGTTGAGCCTTGGTTGGCTGTTGGCAGGTCAGTGGGAGGGATTTACCCAGGCCAGTCAGCTGCAAGGACTGGCTGTGACCACTGACCACGAACCTATGCCATCCTTGGAGCATCAACTGTGTAGGGGCAGGGTGGTGTGCTCCTATGTGGTCTGTAGCTGTCCACTTAGTACTCAGGCCCTATGGTTTCCTGGGTGGTGCAGGCCAAGGTCGGTCCCAACCTGTGTTTTGCCTGGGGCCACCCTGCCAGAGCTATAGAGCAATCTGAGATGGCTACTACTTGTGCCAAGCTTGGAGATTCTCAGGCAAAGCCAAGCTGTGAGTCTAGGCTGGTTGCTGCTAGTGCCATGCCTGGGGCCACTTAGCAAGAGGTACAGGGGATAGGGGCTGGCTCCTGAGGCCAGTTGTCACTTGTTTGAAAGGATTAGGAGGTTGCGAAGCATGAACCAAGACCAGCCATTCATATGGAAAAGCTACTGTTAACAGCTGTAAATTGGGTGGGACAGAGCCTCAGGGGATATCCAGGGCAGGGCAAACAGTATTAGCCAGGTTGACATAGTCTCTGATATGGCACTCTGCTGGCTCTGTAGTTCTGCCTGCCTTTCTGTCTGGGAGAAAGCTGTGGCCCAGCTCTTGACTTGATGCCAGCCACTTCAGTTCCTCCCTGTATTCCACTGGTGCCTTTCAAGCTGCTACCTTGGTGCTGGAGCTCAGAGAGTGAGTCTGAGCAAGTTTGTGTGTGTTTCTTTAAGGGGAACTGCTGGAACTCCAGAAGTTTCTTCTGACTCAATCCCTGCTGATTTTTGCAGCCAGAAGTTATGGGGGCTTACCATCCTGGCACTGGAACTCTTGGCTAGGGGCCCTGATGTGGGGCTGGGATTCCTCGCTCCTAAGATACCCCTCCCAAATTTTTATCCACTACAAGTGGGTGAAGGATCAGCCTGTCCAGCGTCTCCGCCCCTCCTACCAGACTGGATGGATGTTGTTTCTTGAATTCCATAGTTGTCACTTCCATTCAACTCAATTTCTGATGGTTCTGAGTGATGGTTGTTCTATAATTTAGTTGTAATTTTGATGTGGTTGTGCGAGGAGGAGAGCCGTGTTTACCTACGATGCCATCTTGACTGGAAGTCTTTCAGTCTTTAACAGAAGAAGTATTTTGTTTCTGAGCATGAGTTCTAATAAGAGGTCTGCTAATATGTGGGTAATTTAAACCATAGTGTAATTATGAATCAATCATACCTCTACTACTTTTCCAAAACAAACATGCCCTAGTAAAATTAGGAACTAGCCAGACATGTTTCTGGTTCTGGCCAATGCTCCTTTGATGGGCCCTCCTTCCTCTACGAAAGTCCTTAGCCCTCCACCCAGCAGTCCATGCGTGCTGCCTTCAAAGCCTTCTCTAAAAACTGACCCATGTTCACTCTCTCCCCTGCTCTTCTCTCTTTCCCTTTCTCTCTCCCTTTTTCTCTTCCCACACCCATTTATCTTTTCTTCTCTTTCCTCTCTCCAAACCATAGTATTCACCTTAATATAACTTAAAGTTCATTTCTTATTTCTCTTAAAATTATTTTTATTCTAGGTCTTTATCTTCAATTGCAGAATGAAAGATTTTTGCCCCCACCCCCATTTAAATGGGAACTCTGAAGGGCTATTTAGTGGCACTGTTGGGAATGAATGATAACTTGAAAAAAGTTAAGTGAGTTTAGGCCTCTTCATACAGGGTGCATGAGTTCTCTCACTATGGAAGGCCACTGCATACCTCCCTGTGGTTCAGAACTGGGGGAAGACTCAACCTGTCACTTATTACACTTAGAAGTGTACACCCCGTTCGCTACAACCGACCATCCGTAGTTACTAGTGCTCATCAGCACTGAATGGATGGATATAAACTCACCTCACCACTTTCAAACATTGGCCAATCCCAACAATGAATGTGACCAGTAACAAAGGTTTTGCTTTATCATATTTCCTGGAATATATTTGTCATGAACCCTAGGAGGGCAAAGAGATAAATGAGGCAATGTTCATGCTAGGGTGTTTTTTTCCCCCTGGAAAGTCTCTCTTTTTCCCCTTAATGCTTTTTACAGTGAATGTTTTATTTGCCTCCAGAGAGACCCTGAAAAGGAAGACTAGTGGGAGCAGATGTGTCAGCCCCGTTACCAGTCCAAGTTCGAAGAGGGATCCCCATGTCTGCGCTGTCTGCAGCGACTATGCCTCAGGATACCACTATGGAGTCTGGTCATGTGAAGGATGTAAGGCCTTTTTTAAAAGAAGCATTCAAGGTACAAGAGTATTATTAGCTGTTACTTTAGCTTTCTCCTTTTGCTTTTAAATAGTTTTGCAGATGACCTGGCAAAAATGTTACCACTGGCCTCTTTGATTCACAAAGTATGTGATGAGCAATTGAGAAGATCATATCTGTTTGGGGGCTGGGGAGATTGTTTCAAGTGTAGAGCACTTTATCAGTTGTGAATCTCCACCCCAGAAGCCCAGAACTCAAATGGGTCTTGGGAGAAGGTGGCTAGTTACAACCCTTGTCAAGATAAAGCTTGGAAAAGAATGTGTGCTCATTAGGAATTGCAAAGGTGGTTTCTTCCTTTGACTTATGTTTAATACTTGGCGTGCCTAACCATCATGATGGTGGGCTGGCTCCTGAGGAAGGGAGAATAAATACATCTTATGGGAATGGTCAGAAATCAGGAATTCAACTCCAATGGGCTTTGAGAATTGATCTAGAGGGATGACTTGCCCCAAACTAGTGGAGCCTCCATTCACAGTCCTCTTTGTTTTCTGGCCTGGGTTTAGACTGTGTCTCTACCCTTCTCCAAATTTCTGCTGGAATGAGTTGTAAAAGGTAATTTAAAAACACATCAATTTCAAATTGTGCACACCTGCTTTCAAGGCCCGTGAGCCCATCGTCACGTTTGGTTACGGGTCAGGTTCCCAGCTGGGGGCATGCAGGAAGCAACCAATTGATGTTTCTCTCCCATTCTTTCTCCCTCCTTTACCCTCTCTCTGAACATAATAATTACTATTTTTAAAAAATTTTTATTTATTATAATCTACTATCCACTTTCATTTTTGTATTCATAACAACGTTTTATCATTGTTCTTTTTGAAAGTTAAAGTTGATTTGAGTGCTGCTCATGAATCTTCAACTCTGTCTCTTAGGACTTAAGAGGCTGAGCTTTAACTGGGAATCTTAACAGCCAATAGGGTATATAAAAGCTTCTTGCCTGGGAGGCATATGTTCTGTCACTTGGGGTTTATTTGTCTTTGAACTCAGGAAGAATGTCCTGAGGGAACAGAAGAGAAGGTAGATGCCTGCTGTTGCAGTATAAGAGTGCCAGGGAGGGTGCAGGTGATAAAAATTGCTCTATTTTTAAAATAAGAAAACTGCAAGGCGGAGCTGAGGTTAAAATCAGATCTTCTGATTCCAAGTCCAGTGCTGTCTCTTTCCTCTGTGCAGTTGCATGTGAGTGATAACAGGTATTCAGACAGACTTAATTTTTCAGAGAGAATGAAGATACTCTTTTGTATTTTATATTCTAAAAAGCACATTTTCCTTAAAGTTTTATATCTCAACTACAAGAATTAGCTACATATTTTGCTTTTAATTTGGCTTTGAACTTTCCTATTAGTATGGAATAGCATGCTTCTCAGACTGTTTTGTGGGACAAGAAACCATTTTAATACATGAGGTACTCTGTGCAGTGTGAGGACTTTTTCCTTTTTTGGCCAGAAGGAAGTGAATTACCATGACCGTCTTGCATAAGACATTGTCTAGGCTATTTATATTGAGTGTGTTCATATTATTGTGCTTTCTGATCCTTGTTTAAATATAAAACTATGTTTAAAAAAAACTGAGGGGAAAAAAATAATGAAAGTGAACGTCTGGTTGTCCCTTAAATTCTTATGGTTATAAACCTCTTTATAAAACCAATAAGGATAACATCATGTATTGTTCTTAGAATTTTTAGAAGGTACTAAAGCTTGCTATAATATTATGACAAGTACTATGGGATTACACTTTTCTTCTAATTATAAAGCAGTATGTTCTAAAGTATAATAGAAATTTTCTGATTATAATTATATTTTGACTTTTAAAACATAATTTAGTTTTGAATACTATGTGAGGATAAAAGCAATAATTAGATAATTATCTGTTTCTTAAAAATGTTTTATAACACATGTTATATGACCCCCTACTCTTGTGTGTGGGGGGGCCTGTAAACATGGTGACTTACATTTTATAGCATATGTTGTTGGTATGGTCTCCTGTGATTATGCTGTGATTACGTAAGACTTCATCAGAGCAGACAGGAGAGAGACTGGAAGCTAGAGAGATGATTTCCTCCGAGCCTGGAAAAGAGCATAATTAATTTATATCAGCATAACTTCTTATTTTCTACAGTTGGTTACCAATTCTATCATTATTTATTTGGATATCCAAGTTATTTCAGATTTCGTCAGTAGGATTCCTTTAAACTGGGGGTGGGGTGGGGCATGTGTGTGTGTGTGTGTGTGGTGTACCCACAATTTATTTGGATATCCAAGTTATTTCAAATTTGGTCAGAAGGATTCCTTTAAACTGGTGTGGGTGGGGGTAGGGTGGGGGTGTGTGTGTGGTGTGTTATGGATACTCATAAATCTTAAGCACCTCTTTTTTTTTTTTTTAATCTTTGTGGTTTTAAAAAAATTTTTTTTTCCAATACATTTGTCTCTGCCTTCCCCCCACCACTTTCCCTTGACCTCTTCCCCCTCTCCCTCCCTCAATCCTTCCCCTTTGGTTTTGTCCATGAGTCCTTGCTATATGTTCCTTGACTTTCCCCTTCCCTTCCTTTTCTTCTGCCCCCCCTTCCCTCCTTCCCAATGTATATAAAACATACTGCTTTATAATTAGAAGAAAAGTGTAATCCCATAGTACTTGTCATAATATTAGCAAGCTTTAGTGCCTTCTAAAAATTCTAAGAACAATACATGATGTTATCCTTATTGGTTTTATAAAGAGGTATATAAAGAGGAAATTTTCTGTTGGTTTCTTTTCCTTTCAGTGTGGCTGGTCTTATTTTCCTTGCATCTTTGTATTGTTGGTTAGGTTCCGCTTATAGGTGAGATCATATGGTATTTGTCTTTTGCCCCCTGGTTTATTTCGCTTAACATAATGCTCTCTAGTTCCATCCATGCTGTCGCGAAGTTTAGTAGTTCTTTTTTTCTTTCTGATATATAGTATTCCATTTTGTAAATGTACCATAATTTTTTGATCCAGTCATCTACTGATGGGCATTTAGGTTGCTTCCAATACTTGGCTATTGTAAATCGTGCTGCTATGAACATTAAAAATATGGAACGCTTCACGAATTTGCGTGTCATTCGTGCGCAGGGGCCATGCTAATCTTTTCTGTATCATTCCAATTTTTAGTATATGTGCTGCTGAAGCGAGCACTTGGGCACTTATTTACTTCCCAGCACAACAAGCTATTTCAGGTTCATCTTGTACTTTCTGTGCCCCAGTCCTGAAAAAAAGCTGTTTCTCCAAAGAGCCCTGTTTCTTCTTAAAGGAGAATGATTTTTATAAACCAAGATCTGGGTGCTAATTTGCTCATTGCTCTCAGATATCCCTGCTTCCAGCTTCTCTCAAAGGATAGAGTTAAGGAATGTTATTTATTTCAGTATTTATTTATATCCAGCTTAAAGAATACAAACTCATGTGTATTTAGTGTTCAGGCCATGAAATAGGATATCTTCAGAGTCCTAGGATCCCTTGAGTGGTCCTGCTAGGCCCAGCTCCTTCCCTTCCTACAGAGGTAAGACAGTCCTAACTTCCGTCTTCCTTGGCATGGTTTTACGACCTAAGCACGCTTCCCTAAACAATATAGTTTAGTTTTCTCTATTTTTTGAACTTTACATAAATGGAAGTTTCTCCTCTATTTTATTTTGTGTGCGTGACTTGCTTCTTTTATGACTTGCCCATTTAATTTATCATTGAGATTCATCCATTTCCCATGTTGAAATTCTGGCTCATTGTAGATTTAATGTAAGAAATTCAGGTCATATTATTTATTAGAAAGATACAATTAAGAAATAAAGATACAAAAATATCTTATGCACTTCTGCTTTTTATCAGTTATAATTCTAGTCTACTCCGTTCCATTCCACTGCGTTCCTTAAACCTCGCAGGCCCAGACAGCTCCCTTCATCCGCCCCGCATCACCCAGTCCAGGCAGCCGCGTCTCTGGTTTGCACAGGCACAGCAGGCTCTCACCTGGTTTCCTGGCCTCCATCAGGTTTGCTGCCTCTAAGCCATCCTCCATATAGCCTCTGAAATAATTTCTGAAATGGAAATTTTCTTACTCTCTTCCTTAAAAAAATTAGAAGTACCATTGTCTTTAGTCAGAGATTGCTATGTAACTAAAGCCTGACTACAGCAGACATTATTTTTCTTAATTGTAGGTCTACGAGTTGGTTAGGTTGACTCCCTTCACAAAGCTTGGCTCTAAGCTTAGGGCTGAATTCACATCTACTCTCTCTATGTCTCCATATTCTCCCTGAGCCAGCGGCTACCTGAGGCCAAACCGAACTGTTGGAGTAGCACATCTATAAACATATCATTGGCTAAAGCAAGTCCCATGGGCAAGTCCACCATCAGTTGGTGGGGGAGTATCTTCTGCCCACTCTCATTAGTACACTGCAAGGCCACAAGGCTAAAGGAATGAAGAACTGAGAATAATAATCTAATCTAAAACCATGAAGAAGTTCTTTCTGTTCGTTTTTAGTTTGCTAATTTCCTTATTCTCTTATTGACTAGTTATTTTATTTGACTATGAATTCCCATAAAAATATCATGTTAAATCCCAAAGAGGGATAAATGTTAAAGAATATAAGCAGTTGACTTTGGTGACCTGGTACTTGAGGAGCTCTATGATTTGGAGCAAATCAATTCCAGGTGACTGTCTCACTGTCCATGTTGAGAGGAGAATATTTCTAAATGTATCTCCTGTAAATTCTAAGTAAATGTAGAGAATAACCTGTGAGTCAAAAAGTAAGATATTAAAAATATTCCTAGGTTTCCTAGGGATGAAACCTAGGATGAGGCCTAACTTTGGCCTTTGTACCTGTGCCTGTCTTTAAGATGATGTTCCTTATCTCAAGTAGCATAATCAGTGTTGTTGACCAGGAAGATATTTACCCAAAATATTGTAACAACCTTTTTTTTTTTTTTGCTTTGCTGTAGGACATAACGATTATATTTGTCCAGCTACTAATCAGTGCACAATAGACAAAAACCGGCGCAAAAGCTGCCAAGCCTGCCGACTTCGGAAGTGCTATGAAGTCGGAATGGTGAAGTGTGGTGAGCATTCCCTTCCTTTTTTATTGTATGTGGGACATGCTGAAAGCTATAGGGACCTATAGTCCGGATGAGAGGAAACTTAGGATTTGTTAGTTATCTTAAAGTGTTTGCATGCTGTCACATTAGAGGGAGCAGTGACTTATTCCCTGTAGAGAGGATAGAGCTGGAGTGAGTGGGAGCAAGTTACAGGAGACACATTTTGACCCAATATAGGGAAGAACTTCCCGCAGTTTACGTGGTCTGACAACAGAATAGGCTGCCACGTGAATTAGGAAACTCCTCCACTGAAGGGCTCACACAGGGGCTGGGTGATCATCTGCCTGAGGCCTTGGAAAGCCTAAGGATGAAAGCCTGGTAAAAACAGTTAAAGCTGTGACGAGAAAGCAGCATATCTTGTGAGTTACTAGGCTGGTATTGATCAGGGGTGTCCCAACAGCAGCCCATGGGCCACGTGTGGCCCAGGATGGCTATGAATGTGGCCCAACAGAAAATCCTAAATTTGCTAAAAACTTTTTTTTGCTCATCAGTTTTTGCTGTGTTTGTGTATTTAATCTGTGGCCTAAGACAGCTCCTCTTCTTCTAGTGTGGCCCAGAGACACTGAAAGGTTGGACACCCCTGGTGTAGATAGACTCATGCCTATCCCTGCAATAGCTTTCTAGAAGTGGAAAAAATATGTAGGAGTGAGAAACATGATAGAACTATGGAAAGAATGTAGAGCACAGATCTTGTTCCATGACAATATGTGTGTGTGCATATACCTGTATAAATACATATATGCAGCAAAGGAAAATGAGCACATTAGTAGAGCAACTGACAATGATGCCTGCACCATGCTCTCTCCACCTGGCTAACTTTTGATTCACTTGTCTGTACACAGTTACTTGTTTCTATATAGCTCTGCTTATACTTTTCTTACTCTTCTGCTAGCCAAAATTTTGTCTGTGGTTAGCTGTAATTTCTCTTTGTAACTATTTCAAAATTTTAAAACAAAAGTCTCTCCCTTTTCTCTCTGAAAATCTCTTGGTAACTGTCTCTCTAACACTCTCCTCTTTTTCTCTGTATGGACAATCGACAAGACCCCTCGCCTAGTTCAGAATTACAGCAGAAGAATTACAGCTCTCTTAATGTGAGCGCAGTTCTCTGGCTTCCGGTATCACTGATGTTTCCAGCCGCTTCTATGAAACATCCTCTCAAAGCCCATGACCTCCCAGTGTGTATTGGTTACTCGCTAAAACACTTGAACATTTCTGCTCCCGCCACTTCAGTTAAATCCTTATCAGTAACCAGTGGGCTTCTTCCCAAACCTATTTGTACTCATCGTAATTGTTAAATTGTATAGTCTAATTAAAATGAATGCAAACATATGAAATATGAGTGGGAAAGCAGAGTTGTTTCTTGAAAGCTTTGAATAAAGCTGTAAAGGACTAACAGCGATTGTGTTAAGTATGTATTGGTGAGATTGGTGGGGTGTGGGGGAGGGTTGTAAACCTAGAAAGATTCTGAATTCAGATTGCGTTATGGGTGCCTAAGTTTTTGCTCCGTTTTAAAGAAGCTGAAACGGATAATTCAGTAAAAATGTATTATGGGTATAGTTTATGCAGGAAAATATTGTGATTTAATTGGCAGAGGTACTTAAAGAGAAAGTCTTGCTCTCTTACAAAAGATTGCAAATAAATGTTTCATGGTTTATGGTAAACAGTATTTTAAGGTGAGTGTATATTTTTTTTTAAAAGATTTACAATTTAGTCTTACAATAAGAATGCTTTCCTTATACTAGAATCTGCCAGGTGGCTGTAGCCTGGTGGTTCAGGCCCAGGGCAGCAGTACGTGTATGCTCTGCAGTGTATGTGGTGGGAAGAACAGGAGGACCGAACTCCCGTAGACTCTCATTTTCTCTCATCACTTCTGCCTAACTGTGACTGTGCTCAAAAGACTTGACATTTCTGGCCCTCAGTTTCCTTATCCCTGAAACAGAATTACCTGCCTCATTTAGTTTTGTGAGGAATATCTATGAAAACACACAGTCTGGCACTAAATTTTAGCTTTTCTTCCTTTCTCCCTCCCTCATTGAAAATCTCATAAAGTTGTCAGTTTGATACAATGCAGTCTGATGAGGTAGAGTACAGAGCTGTACATAATTAAAAACGTTCATGGAAAAGAGAATGAGAAAAAAGGTAATTGAATTTAGCCAAAAAGTCACTGGGTAGGGCTCTCTAGGAAAAAATATTTTATTATCTTTGGAGATTACAGAAGAAATGAGATGGGTTAATGTGCAAACAGTTGGGTGTTTGGCCCTTTACTGACTCACAGAAAGACAATTAGGAAGGACTTTTCTGCACTATGCCCCCCTTCTTTCCCAGCACTTCTGCCCTTCCCCCGAACCTTCTGTCCACATTCTTCCTTCTATCCATTCTTAGAGGATTAGGGATCCTGCCTGCATTCCGGATTCTCCTCCCCATTCCACTCCCCTTTTTTATTCACAAATCATGTCTCTTCTGTTACCACTTTTTTTCTTCTGCATTTCCAATTCTTTCTTTTCTTTTGAGGTATAAACATATTTGTTTAAATGGTAGGAGGATACCCACTCAGACTAATTTCAGGGCGAAGGCTTCACTGTAAGGATACACCGAAATGCAAGTGGCTGGGAGAATAATCCGAATAGCCATGGATTTGATCTATATCCCTGTGTGGGGATAACAGCTCAGCATCTTTCTTTATTCACCTGCATACAGGTGAATATATGTGAAAGAAATTTGATAGGGAGGTGGTGTAAAATAGTGCTTTTGCTATTTTAGAGCTTTTCTGTCTTGGGCAAGTTATTTGAGATTCCTTGTGCCTGGTTTCTCCTCTGTACATTGGAGGTAGTAACAGCACCTATCCTCTAGAGCAGTGGTCAGAATGAGGTAATCTATGTGCTGCTGTAAACAATGTCTGACGTATAGAAGCTTCCAGTAGATGAGAACTGCCATTATTATCATTTACTGTTGTTGTCATTCTCGAGGTCACTTTCTAATATGGAGCACTCCATTTGGTAGAGATTCTCATTAAACTCACAGGCACATTGAGTGACTCTTCCTAGATTACAGTGTCACAGTCACGACACTAGAAATGTCCTTGGTAGAAGAATGTGAGTTCCTTGTCCAGGTCTTCATTTTATTGATCCCAGAAGCCTCACAACTTAATACAGGGTCTCATACATAAGCACTTTGTCAGTGAAAACTGGTCAAATAAATTTAAATGTATGGATTCAAAACCTTACACTTTGTATACAAACCTGTTTTGAAAACTCCTTATCCTCATATACTCTACAAAAAAGAAGTGTGTGATCAGAAAGTTACTTTCTTAAATCTTACATTTTTGTTCCATTTTACCATGGGGGCAATAATCAGTCTTAACTATCTGTAGCACTCTATCTGATTACTAATAAAAATTAATTATAGTTTAGGTTTTTAATTCTTTTAGTAATAAGTTTGATTTCAATATCTCTGGATGGATAGAGTCCTTCTTTCTACTGCAACTAGCCAAGGATAAGAGAAAATTCAGATAAATTTCATTGGGAGCAAATAATTTAAATTTTTCTCATACTTGCTAATTAATATATTTTTTAAAGTAGACAAATATAATGGGAGTATAGAATCTAGACATTTTGCAGGTTTTAGCTTTTAGATTACTTTTTAAGGGAAAATTTATATAAAATTATATCCATGCTAATGACATTTTGACTTATAACACATTTTTCTTAATTTTAATTTCACATTGGTCATTAACCAATGGATCTTTAGAAATATTTTTGTGTTCAAATTTATAGGGGTTTGAAAGTTATATTTTTGTTATTTTCTATTTTCATTATATTATGGTCAGAGAATATGATTGATATGATAACATTTTTAGTTAAGATTTTATTCATTTACCCTGACTGGTATGGCTCAGTTGGTTGGGCATCATCCCACAAAGCGAAAGTTTGCTGGTTTGATTCTCATTCAGGGCACCTGCCTGGGATGTGGGTTTGGTCCTTGGATAGGGTTGATGTTTCTCTCCCTCTCTTCTCCCTTTCTGCCCCTCTCTCTAAAAATAAATAAATAAATGAAACCTTTTTCAAAAGCTATAAAAATTTTATTCATGACCTAGCATGTAATAATTTTTGCAAATGTCCATGAGTTTTTGTAGATTAACTTTGTTCATTGTGCTGTTTCAAATGTTCTGTATTCTGACTTTTCTCCAGTATTTCTACTCTATCTGTGCTTAGAGAAATATGTTAAAATATCCCATTACAGTATTACTGTATTTGTCAATTTCTCTTTTTCTTTCATTCGCTTTTAGTGTTATGTTTGCAGGCTAGATTTTGTTGTTTTAATATACATGAGTTTTGAATTATTTGTCTTTCATAATCTACTCATGATCTTCTTTATGTCTAATGATTTTTAAAGTTTATTTCATCTGATATTGATAGGGTAATTCTAACTTACTTGGTTAATTTTTGCCTGTTACATCTTTTTCTGTTTCTTTACTTCCATTTTTTCTGTAGATTAGATGTACAATATCTCTTAAAACAAATGTACGTCTAGGTTAAAAAATATATATGATATCTGAGTTCTTAACTGGGTAATTCTGTTTATGTTTATTGTGATCACTGATATTTGGGTTCATTTCTGTCATTATTTTGTGCTTTTAAAAAATTCATCATACATTTTCTACTCTTTTTCTTTTTGGAGTTGATCACATTTTCTTGTTTTCTTTTTCTGCTTCTACTAGTTTATAAGTCATATTTTATCTTTCAGGTTTTTTCAGTGACATTCCTTTTCTTTTCTTTTTGTTTGCACTTGTGAGAATTTAATGGATTCCCCTCCGTGTGGCTTCAAGCTACCAACACGCAAGCCCCACCAACACTCTTAATCTTCTCCTCAGCTCTTCTGCTGAAGAATTTGGCTTTCACAATGACGGGCTGTTTTGGGAGGCTTCCCTTCCCCAGAACTTTGTAGTAGCCCGATCGCACATCAATGATGGGAGCGGCTCCAGTCTTGTTTTTGGCAGCATTTACCCGTGTGTCTTCACTGACCAGGGTCCACAGTTTATCAAGGTTGACAGTGGGGCAGAAGCTCTGGTTCTTCTTTAAGTGATAGTGCCTTATACCAACTTTCCCAAGGTAACCTGGGTGATATTTGTCGAAGTTGATCCTGTGGTGATGCAAGCCACCGGCATTACCTCGGCCTCCCGGGTACTTCCTGTGCTTGCCAATGTGGCCATGGCCATGGCTCACGTGGCCCTGAAGTTTCCGGGTCTTCCTCAGTCTGGATGGCATGTCGGCAGCCGAGATGCAAGAGCTCATATATTCTTGATTAATTTGAGAATTCAAGCCAATCTCTCTAATGGAAACTTCTCATCTCAAATAAAGAAACTTAGCAAGTTCTAACCAAACTCATTCTCTCATCTTACATGTTATGTTGTTGCCTAGTGTTTTCCTTCTACCTTAGTTTCTCTACCTCCAAAATTGATGATGATGATTTTATTCATTCAATGCTTTTAATATTCAATCTCATACTTACCAATTTATTTTTTTATCATTTCTTTTTTATTTTGTTTTATTTCAGGGGAAGTGGGGGAGAAAGAGGGAGACAAACATGAATGTGTGGCTACCTCTTGTGTGCCCTCTACTGGGTACCTGCCCTGCAACCCAGGCATGTGCCCTGACTAGGAATCTGGCGACACTTTGGTTCACAGGCATGCACTCAATCCACTGAGCCCCACCAGCCAGGGCTCTTTTCTTACCATTGTTTCTCCACTCTCATTACTTCCTTCTGGTCTACTTTTCTCCATTCACAACAAAACAGTATAGTAGTTAGTTCAAAGGGGCTGTGAGTGATCTATCTTCTCACTCTTTGTTTAACTGAAAATGTCTTTAATTTATCCTCACACTTAAATAATGGTATAGCTTGGAATATAATTCTATATTGAAGGTTTCTCCTCTCCCCCTCAATCTTGAAGCCATTATCCCATTGTGTTCTGGCCCATAAACCTACTGTAACTGAAACATTTTGATATCAGCACAGGAATAGAAGTAGATCTATAAAACAGAATAGGGGATCCAGACGAAGACACTTTAATATACAATTACTACTATTTTTTTTTTAATCCTCACTAGAGGATATGTTTAGAGAGAGAGAGAGAAAGAGAGAGAAACATTGTTGTGAGAGAGAAACATCTATCATTTGTCTCCTGTATGTGCCCTAGCTGGGGATCAAACCCGCAACCTAGATATGTGCCCTGACCAGGACTTGAACCCATAAACTTTTGAGGTATACGTGGATGATGCTCCAACCAACTGAGCCACCTGGCCCCAGCACAATTATTTTTTAAATGACAAGGCATTTTATAAAATTTAATGGGAAAAGCTTATTCAATAAGTAGTATTGGGAAAATTGTAAATGTATTTGGAAAAACATAACATGAAATATCAGTATTGCATGATACAAACATACATGAAATTTTAAAAAGGTTTGAACTGCAAAGGTCTTAAGGAAGATACAGGAGAATATTTGTATAATTTAAACTGAAAAATAAACTGAAGAATATTTTATAATTTAAAATTTGGCTATATACTACAGCTTTGATGACAAGAGACACTGTGAGCACAATTAGAAGATATATAACAAACAAGACAAATATTGCATATAATGAAAGTTGTTTATTGTTACTATATAAAAACCTTTATGGACCATTAGGGAAAAAGAGCAGAGAACAAGTAGGTGATTCACAAGTAAAAGACAAATGTATTAGTCAGCCATGCTAGTAATGAAAAAATGCAGTACAATTAGATTGTTTAATCAGTTGTCAGATTAGCAAAAATTAATTACATTTAATGATCAATGGTGTGATGAAAAAATAGATAGCCCTTAAAGTATTATTTAGATTACAAATTCTAAACTACTTTTGGAGGGTAATCTATCAACATGTGTCCATATTTTGAATGTGCATATCTGCTTTGTTACAGCAACTTGATGTCTTTGAATTTATTAGAAAGAAGTAGTAGTTTGGGTACATGTACAAAGATGCATTTTTACTGTGATATTTATCCTAACAAAGAAATTATGACCAATCTAGATTTCCATTAACAGGAGCCACTTTAAATAAATGATGCTATACTCGTAAGACAGAATGCTATACAGATTATTAAATTATGAAATGGCACATTTTATAATAAAGAACAGCTTGTAAAATAGTATATACACTATGTCATTTTGTATATAAAATATGGAAAAGTAAAAAAGCATTAAAAACGAAGAATTTATGCCAAAATTTGTGCTCCCTTATATTTTCCAAATTTTTAACTGATTTATTATTTGAAATAGACTTATTTGTGTATGTAAAAAGAATACGCACATACATATATACAAATATATGCAATCAAACATTTTAAGAATGTATTATAAAAGTGTATTATTTGATAACTGTTTATAAATATCAATGTTCATTTCCTAACTTTCTCCCATCTTCTGCCTGAAGAAAATTCCTAAGTTTAAGGTCTGGAAAATGAGGTACGTCAGCACTCTTTAAAAGGGAAATAGATTTGGTATCCATAGATGACCTTGAAATGAAGACCTTAAGATCATTTGGGCTGTTGTCCCTAAAACATTATGTAACTGATTTTGCTAATGCAGTCACGAATGTAGTTATATTTGGTACATACCCTGCAGATTCCTGAAAATCAGTCAGGCTTCTGGTCCAAGACACGTTCTGAGAATAGACCCAGGTCTTACAGTGATGTCATTGCTTCATTTTCACCTTGGCTACTCCGGGAACTTGAAGGAAGGTTTGGGGAAGCAGCTGGGGTAAGCAACGTTATCTGCTCTCCACTTTAGGTTCCCGGAGAGAAAGGTGTGGGTACCGCATAGTGCGAAGGCAGAGAAGTTCCGATGAGCAGCTGCACTGTCAGAACAAAGCCAAGAAAAACGGTGGACAGGTGAGCCGGGTGAAGGAGCTGCTGTTGAATGCCCTGAGCCCAGAGCAGCTGGTGCTCACGCTCCTCGAGGCAGAGCCGCCCAACGTACTGGTGAGCCGCCCCAGCGCGCCGTTCACCGAGGCCTCCATGATGATGTCCCTGACCAAGCTGGCCGACAAGGAGCTGGTGCACATGATCGGCTGGGCCAAGAAAATTCCGGGTAGGGATTTCTCTGTGTCTTAGCTTTCCATGTATTTGTAGGAAGGCCTGCTTCTAACATTTATGGTGCAAGAGTGCAAAGTGGATGCCCACAAAAGATGCCTCTGTATTAGTTTGACAGCTTGATTTATAACCTTTAAATAAAATGTTATTTCTTTCTATCTCAACATATATACCCTCAACATGGTCTGGATGACCAGGCTCCGAGTTAGAATTTTTGGACTCCTCTGAGTTCTCTACCAGAGAACATGTCAGGGCCCATTCTATTCTGTTCCTAAAACTCTTCTTTTCCCACCCCCAGGTCCGTCCCACATAGTCTTGTGCACACCCTATCCTGCGTGTCCACCTGTCTGTGGACATGAGCTTTGGGTCACCTCTCATGCCTATTCTGAGAGGGTGGACCAGGAAAGAGACCCGGCCAGGCTCTGGAAATGGGCTTGGGGCCATTTGGGCAGAAAATTCAAGGGCTCTGGGATTTGGAACGTGTTCTCGAAGGAAGGGACCTGGACTCCACATAGACCGGTCTCCTGGCCATGGACTCCTCACCCGGGGAGGAGGGGTGTAGGCAGGTGAAGGTGGAGTGGGCTCAGTATGACCAGTATGAAAATAAAAGGGTTGTCAGAAGCTAAGTAGGAATTTGTACACTACTCCTCCAGTAGAGAAAGAATTCATAGCATGTACATTAATAAATATATATGCACAAAAAGAGTAAATCAGCAGCTGAAATATCATGAATCACCAATAAACCTGAAATGCCATCAGGTTAAAAATAGGTTTGATGATTCACTAGTAGTCATTTGGAATCTGCATTTTCCATCCTGTAATGTGATCATTTCCCCAGGTCAGTTGGTAACCATACTTGTAGTACTGCATTGTGCCTAAACGACCATCTAATTACTATTTTCATTGGTGTTTCTGTGAGAGTGAATCTAGGATTCTAACATAGGTTGCCAGCAACCCATCACCCTCTGAAAGGGCTTGTCTGTGCACATCTTCACAGTCATCTAAGAAATGAGGTCTTTCTCCAAGTTCTGAGCCGCTGGGGACAATGCCCATGGCCTTGGGCAGTATCCTCATTGGGTGAACTGTAAAGCCTGGGAGCGTTGAGAAGCTGGCTGAAGAGCAGTTGAGGATAAAGAGCTGTGGGACCCAGACCTAGGGTAATAGTATCTCTTTGGATCATTTGTCGGCTCTGAGCTTCCTGAGGATTTTCTAGTTTCCAGACTGTTTTGATAGTTTAGCATCCTCACCTTTGCCAAAATTATTTTATTTTCTCTGCTCTTTCCCATAGGAGACAATACTGAATGCACTTTCCTTTAGCTTTTACTCTATATGTATTACGAACACTTATTTTTTTCAGAACCCCACATGGAGAGTAGTAGTGAAATTAATTATTGCTGAGAGCTGTGCATTTTCTTTGTGCTAAAACAAAACCAAACTCTAAAGCTGCATTAGGCCCTCTTCAAGCCTGATATTTGGAAAAGTTTTCAGAAAACTTAGGTGTAGTCTGCAGGTGTGATTTCCCTGCCATGCCATCTGATCTATTTCTTGTCCAAACAAACAAAAAATTAAAATATTACCTTGTCTTGATCTTGTTGAATATCTGCAAGTATAAAAAACTTAGTCTCCCTTGATAGGGTTATTGTCTATAACTAGGTGAGATTGGAATGTGTACACATATTAGAAACCTGAATTGAGCCTAGAATGTGGCTTTGGAAAGGGTTTATTGATCTTTCCGTTCATTACTCCATTAAATTCTTCTCGATGCAAATTTGCATTATAATTGTCAAGGATTTGAACCACATGTGCTCTCTGTGCCTTAGTTTCCTCATCTGTAAAGTGAGGATGATGAGAGATCCTGCCTGTAGGAAATTCTCAGAGGCAGGCATTGTTACCCCTATTTTGCCTACAAGGAAACAAGGACTTACAAGGGAATTAAGCAACTAGCTAGGAAGCGGCAGAGCTGGAATTCTAACCAAAGCCCATTGCATGCCAAGACTGTGGGTTTGGTGATTGCATTTATATTACAATGTTTCCTCCTTTTATCATAGCTGTGGAGAAAGCACCAGAAATCTCTGATTTGCCTTTGAAGTGCTCACCTCCCTAGAGATTACCTGTTTACTTTCCAGTTCTTTGACCAATGCATGCTATTTCGGTATCAGGGTGTCAGGACCTCCTTCAACTGTTAAATTTGCTCTTCAGGATAGAATAGCCTAGAGTCAGTGCTCCTACGTAGAGAAGAGTGATTCTAACACTGTATGGGAACTTTTAAGCAATTAGAAAAATTCTTTCAGTTGAGGCCTTGACTTTCTGCATGGGCTGACCCTGCTCTCTCTGCATGCCCCTCCTCCTCCCGGCCCCAGTCGGCCCCAGTTGGGGACTGGGCCAGGCATGCAGCCTCTCTGGCTGACAGCCCAGCATTACCTTTCTCAGCAATGGAGGGCAATTATTAGGATATAACTAACAGAGATTGGTTACAGCTTTCTCTTCTTTACTAGCATCTGTCTGGGGAGCTGTATATGCCCAGGTAACAGTCCTTTGTAAATTATAAATGAAACAGTTATCACTAGAAGGGGTCAGGACTGGAAATTGAGTTGTGCACCATACGTTCAAAATTCTCTTCCTTAGGACAGCATATAACCACATCTTTAAAATGCCATTGTTTCCTTACTGTTTGTGTTTTCAAAGCTTTTCAAATGTGCTCCTCTGTTTCTAGAGAAACTGGGAGCCGAGGAGGAGGGTGGGTGTGTCTCACAGCCTCTTGCTTTCCCCAGGCTTTGTGGAGCTCAGCCTGTATGACCAAGTACGGCTCCTGGAGAGCTGCTGGATGGAGGTGCTAATGGTGGGGCTGATGTGGCGCTCCATTGACCACCCCGGCAAGCTCATCTTTGCTCCAGACCTCGTTCTGGACAGGTGAGAAAAACGCATTGTGTTTCTTCTTTGACTTGAGTGAATCGTTTGAGTGAGTGGGAACAAAGCCGTGGGTGCTGCAATTAAAATTTCACACCTGAAAGGGCAGTTAAGAGGATTATGATGTCATGAGCTCCTTCACTGGATCAAGAACCTGAAAAGGAAAGAATGGGTACAAGGATCCAGTGTCCTGTGACTCATCCTTGGTGTGGCAGCCATAACAGGGCCTGTGTTCTACATGGTATGGGGCCACCAAGTAAATATAAATCAACTTGGATTTTTCTGCATTAACAACTCCATTTTCAGGCTGCAGTTTCAAGCTGTCCTGCTGTCCTTTCTGCCTGTCAGGACAAATTAGTTAGCCAGCTATCTGGATAGGTGATAAAATTCTTACAAATCTTCCAGGTTTATTTTAACATTCTTTAACTCATTTTTAATTGCATGTACTATATAGCATTTTTGGCAATAGCGGTGGAACCAGAGTGGAATCGTCATTAGAACCAGATGAAAGTTAATGGAAATTGGGGAATCCCATAACTTCCCCAATGGTGCAGAGTGGAAGGATACCTAGTGTTATGAATGGAAAGTGACTGCCCAGCTCTTGGGATTACCTCTTTAGGTTATCAGAAGATCCCCCTGTACATGGTAGGCAGATGAAAAAATGCCCCCCAAGGTATTAGCAACCATTTTACCTGTCATGGATGACAATGTACTGTTCTAAGTAATGGATGAGTTTTGGTAGAGAACAGAGCCTTTGGGGAAAGCTGGAATAGGGGGTGGGGCTCAAGCAGGAGCAAGCCAGATGGTAAACCACAGAGGGTGGTTCTGAAAGCCCCGAACAGGTTACTGGAGGACTGAAACCCTCCAATAACAATCAAAACAGCCAACCAATGGGCTTGTATGTGCCAGGCACCATGTTTAGCGTTTGATGTGTGTTCATTTCATCTTCATAGCAGCCCCTTCTGGGTAAGCACCATTGTTATCGCCATCCTTCAGACCTGAGAATGGGAGGTTAGGTAACTTCCTGCACTTATAGAGTAGTAAGTGGTGGGGCTGGACTTGGAGGTCTGGCTGTGAAACCCATGCTTTTAATTACAACAGTACATGCCTCTCAACGGGACGGAGAACTGGAAGAGGAAAGAGGAGGATGCTAAAAGGCAAACTAACTTTCTATTGTACTTTATTCTTTTCTCTTAGAACAACTCTACTCTACCCTCTGCCCTCTCCAAAAGCCTGGTCTTGCTGTCGTCTCATGGAACCATGCTGCAAGGCAGGCTGAAAGGCTAAGCAAACAGTCAAGCCACCCCTCCTGCTCATTCATTCATTCGCACTGTTCCACTTGGTGAAAGCCATATTCATTCTCCCCCTCCCCACACACAAATATACACATACACTCTTCCTAGAAGGTAGTGCTAGGAAGAAGTGCTATCCCTTGATGAACCAATACATTTGCAGACTTGGGATTAAGTTATTTTACTTTTTGTCTAGTTTTCTAAATTGATGCCACATTTAGTGTTTATTTTCAGTGCCTGTTTCATTTCTGGTTATTACAATTCATTCTTCTCTTTTATGGGTTGATTTCTGTAAGTATGTGTGTAAGTTACTATATATTGACACAGATCCCAGATAAATTTTAGGTGTACCTTTTGGTTAGGTAATAGAAGAGAAAGAAGTTGGTGGTTTTTTGTTTTTTTACAAATTATTTTAAACACATTACTCTTAAAATATTTGAAAGTATTATGTTTTACAACATGTAATAAGTCTAGTTTACTTTATTGACTATAGAAGAGGAGTTTTGGGGAACTGTAAATGCAGACCCTGAGTAGCATTTATTTGGGAGTGCCTACTGGTGGTTATTTTTGTTGCATTTCCTAATATTGTTTTTAACACATTAACTCTGTAAAGTCTAGAATTTCAAATCTAAGATTTTTCGTGCATCTATTTTATATATATTTATATTACAGCTATGTAATGGGTATATTTTTAGAGGAGTGGCTTAGTCAAAAATATTAAAAACATTACTTATTTAAAAAGTCAGGGACCATGCACCATAAAGAAATTGAATTACGAATTTTTTTTACGACATGAATAAGTAGCTTTCACACTACTTGCAAACAGCTGTCTTTTGGTGGATTGTCCTGTCAGAGTTCCTTCAAGTAGGACCATGTAAGCAGTGAATACAACTAAATTAACCCATTTGTGGAAACAGAGAATATAATTTCTGCTTCCCTTTATTCTGGTTGAGGCTTCTGCAGCAAGAAAACCTAAACCCACTGAGGATGAGAGGAAAATCCAGTTGTCTCAGCTTATTTCTAACAAGATAGTTTTTTTAGTAACCACTGGAATCACAAATTCAGATGAAGATCTACCAGAGAACGGGAGCCGCTATTTGCTCAAAAAATCATGCATGCTGAGACATTTGGTGTCCTTGGCATCAACAGAAAACTGTTTAATGTTAAATGTCATTAAAAAGTCAGAGGAGGTTTAGCTCTGGGCTTGGACCCTCTTACGGATGTTCATGGAGTTTCATAGAATCATATACATAATTGTGAATATTCCCAGTTTGCATTTACTTTAGTTATTTGTGGACTGAATTTTCTTCAAGATACCAACAGAATTTTCACTTCTAAATTTTCATTTCCCTTTTGTACTCAGGTAATTTTCACTTGAGTTCAATAATTAAGTCATTTCAATTTGCTAAGCCTTGAGCCCCCTTCCCACTGACACAGAGGTAAACTGAGGTCTGTAGCCACATGGGCATGGCCAGTGGATATTTATGTAGGTACAAGATAGTGGACCCCAAAGTAAGGCTCACTCATTCCATATTTTGTCCTTGGTATCAAATAATATTTTTCTTTTAAAAAGAGGTGGTTATCAAATAATAAGATAGTCCATGTGGAACTACCACTTTAAAAAAAGACATTGAATTTATGGGGGTGACATTGGTTAATAAGATTATATAGGTTTCAAGTGTACAGTTCTATAATACATCATCTGTATATTCACCACCCAAAATCAAATCTCCTTCTTTGGAACAGAAGCAGATTTATTTAGCACTATTTTATGGACCAATGGTGTGCAAAAGGAACTTTCCATGAGTAGATTGGTTTGATCGATATGTTGTTTCAACGTTTTAACATTCAACTCACATACCCTCTATCTTAAATTCAAATCTTTTAATCCTGTCCTAATTCCTGACACATCATTTACCGTCAATTGTAGTTACAGAATGAATGATATAGAGCTCATTAATTTGTTAAAGTCCTTCCTCTGTTCTGTAAACTCAGTTTCAAGTAGAACTTTGTTAGGGTGTTACTTATGAGGTATTGTATCTTATTGCCCCTATATTTCTCATTTATTTTCTAAAAATGTATTTGGCCTCTATAGCCTGTGAAGTAAAGAGTTCTAACCTTGCCACCCCTCAAATGGAATGGTTGGCTGACACATCTGCTAGAGAAAACAATCAGACCTAGCTCTTTAGAGCTGGTTTGGAAATTCACCTTTTCCATGAGATAGACATGTTCTTATTATTGTTAGTTACAGCATTTATCAGGGTTTATGAAATAAGAATTTGCATTAAAAATGGCATGTATTTTGATGAGGAAATGGTACTAATAATCAATATTTGGAGACATGCTCTTCTGCAAAATAGAATTGATTTCAGATGAGTCCCCTTATACTACTTTGGTGGGGGGGCGGTGAGTGTACACTGTGTGTGTGTGTGTGTGTGTGTGTGTGTGTGCGCGCGCGCGCGCACGTAACTTGCCTCTGACTGAGTCTCACAAAAGAGTAAAGAACTAGCTACTAAACCATCCATTCAGGAGTTGGTGGATTTTTTGTTTTTTCCTCCACAGATATTTTAAAACAAGCTTTTCCCAGTATAATATGTCCTCAAGCCCAACAATTGCAATTTCCAGTATTACTTGTCCCCAGGCAGAGTGATTTGATGATGTGGCATGAGGGGTATTTAGTGAACAAGTATTTCTTCTGCTATGTGCAGGTCATTCATTGTCTTTCCCAGATGCTTGTGGCAGGCTGCCTGGGAAGTACAGAGCAGGGGAGGTAGTAGGATGGGGCGTGGGGAGGGTTAGGGGTGTCCTATGGATTTTGGCACCCTTTGCCCAGGGCTCTGATTCCCCAGCGTGGCCTTTCCTTATGAGTGACTTCTAGGGGGCACTGGTGTTTTATCACTTAATGTGTGCGCTTTCAGAAAGCCTCAGCTGGTTGCAGAGGTTGTTATGCTTGCTTGCCAAAGTGAGCAGTGCGGATGCTTGTGGCTTTATGTAGGTGAGCCTGGGGGGTGGGGGTTTTGAATGCTGTGGAATGCAGTGTCCTGGTGAACTGCTGTCCTAGCAGAGCACCGAGTGGGAAAGGCTTCACCAGGTTTGGCAGTACCCGCTGGGCAACTGCCCATCCCCAAGCACCACCATCACTGCAAACGTCCTGGCTTGGGGATGGGGGAAGGAAGAGGGAAACAGCCAGTTCTTGCAATATCTCAGGTCCCCTCAGGCTGCTACGGAAACTGAAAATGAAACTCTCAGAAACCCATGGCTGCCCTTTACTGTGCACACCAGGCTTTTAGAAGCAAATGAAAGTTTGTGACACAGTCATCTAACTGCTTGTCAAGGACTTCCAGTGACTTTAAGACTGATGATAATAGAAGTTTTTTGGGAGCAGTGAGGCAGAATAATATATGTCTTGCTGGAGTTAATTGAAGCTGGTATTTTCTAGACACAGTGAAATTAATTTACTTCAAAAGTCTACTTAAAAGTTCATTTTTATAAGGAGTGCTCAAAAAGACTTTTGATGGTATGGTTCAAAGCTTGCTGAAAACTTTTGCTTAAAAATAATCTTTGGCAAGTCAAAAATGTCTGTGTCTCCATTCCTGCCTTTCCTGATTCTAGTGCATGATCTCTAATTGTGATTTCTTTGTCATATTTGCTTTTTTCCAAATTACATTTACATGTCTTTTAGTTGCCTCACTAGTTTCTAAATTACCACGAGGAAATAAGAGCTAAGCCCTAGATTTGAAGGATCATTTCTTCTTGGGACACTTGCCTCTGTAATGGTTAGTCTTCCTCATTAACACTTCAGAGTCTCCCGATAGGAACATGGAATGTCTCATTGTAGTAATGTGTGTCATACCTCAGGCTGGTTGGCTGAAATGGTTCAGATTATCAACAAAAATGTTACTCCTTTAAGATAACATTTAGAACAGGAGAAGGAAATGTAGTTCCACTGCACACTTTTGTCTAAATAGTATTTATTCAAATGTTTACTTCAGGAACTTATAGGAAACATCCTCTTTATAAGAAGGTAATTCTAGTTATTTTGCATTGCTGGGTGTGGTCTCATCACTGCCTTGTTATAGTTAAAGCACATACAAAATAAAATTTAAGATTAAAAGGAAAATACTCCTTATTGCCTTTGATGGTTGTGTAAAGCTGTAATTTTCTTAAATTTCCAAATGAACTTTTGTAGGGATGAAGGGAAATGTGTGGAAGGAATTCTGGAAATCTTTGACATGCTCCTGGCAACAACTTCAAGGTTTCGTGAGTTAAAGCTCCAACACAAAGAGTATCTCTGTGTCAAGGCCATGATCCTCCTGAACTCCAGTAAGTAACCACACAGCTGGCCGTGGGGACGGGGACGGGGACGGGGACGGGGGTGGGGAGGCAACGCTAGTTCTAGAAGAGCATTGACCTTATCATTTTATTTAAAAAGGGGAAAATGGCTTTCTTTCCAATTTTTCTGTTTCATTTGACAGGGAATTAAACTGCAGTTAATTTGAATATAAATTGTTCATTGGATAAATTACTGGTAGTAATTTTAAAAGTGGCTCAAGCCAGCTTGCTGAAAAAGAGAAACATGAACTTTACATGTTTTCCTTTCAGCCTCTTTCAATGTTTATACAGACACTTTATGTGATTGACATGCATTTATATTTACTGGTCTGGGTTCCGCTTTTACAGATTCATTTATTCATTCATTGACTCATGTAGTAAAGACATTAAAATATAGTCCCTTTTTGAGTAGCATAGTGGAGGGAGGGAAGGAGGAAGAGGAAAAAAAATCATTGAAAAGAAGGATCTCAGCCCTGGCTGGTGTGGCTCAGTGGATTGAGTGCCCACCTGTGAGCTGAAAGGTCACTGGTTTGATTCCCGGTCAGGGCACATGCCTGGGGTGCAGGCCAGGTTCCCCACTGGAGGCATGCAAGAGGCAACCAGTTGTTTCTCTCATACATCAGTGTTTCTCTCCCTTTCTTTCTCCCTCCCTTTCCCTCTTTCTAAAAATAAATAAATAAAATCTAAAAAAAAAAAAAAGAAAAAAGGGTCTCAGTGCTATAATAGAGTATGTACAGATTCTGGAGTGCTTGTAGAAGGAGCTGATGTTTGAGTGGGTCTTTAGGAATAGGCAGGTGGAAGGAGTAGGCATGGAGGAATGGAGGGACATGGGCGGGCCAGGAGCTGCACATCAGGCAGTGGCAGGGCAGAGCGAGGTGAGCAGGGCTGTAAAATGCAGTGCTGAAGATGCACTTCACATTTTGGGTTCAGGACCACTGCCTGGGGCGATGGGCAGCCCCGGAAGAGGCTCAGGCAGGAGTGTCACGGCCAGACAGGCATTCTTGAAAGGTTACTCTGGCTTGCATGTGGAGGACTGACTGGAGAGGGGAGAGAGCGAGGCATGGCGCCCAGCCAGAGTCCTGAGGGACAATGGGAACCGAAATTAACATGGTGTCGAGGGGCCAGGAAGGAAAGGGCCTGACTGGAGAGAAATATAGGGGTTAGAGGTGGGAAATGAGGAAGGTGCTCTCTAAGATGTGTTTATGTCATAGCTTTGCTGTTTTTTCTTATTATGTAAATAATACCTGGTTATTGTAAACATTCTAACAGAAGAAAAACATGTGAGGAAGAAAATAAAAATCACTGGGAATTCTCCTCAACAAGATAACCACTGTAACTCTGGTGACCATTTTTTCACTGCGCTATCAGTCGATGGACAGATAGACATAGATATATATAGGGAGAATTATACATATATGCTTATATACATAATGTTACGTAAGCAACATGGCATCTTATATAAAAAAAGTATGGGAACTTTGAAATAGGCTTGCTCTGACTATATCTTTTGCTTGCCTTTTCCACCTCAACACCAAGTGGTTAATTTTAACAACCAGAGGGTGGACTTTGTACCTTCTCCCATCCTTTAATAATCATTTAAAATAATACGTCACTTCTATCACATACACAGGTAGGCTTTACATTTTTAAAAAGTTGGGACACTATATACAAATATTTCTCTGCATCTTGTTTTTTTACTTTTCAAAATGCTGTGAAATATTTTAGGCCAACTAGAGAGAGCTAAGCATCTTTCCAGTTAGGGCATTTTCTAAATCGTTCAATCACTTCTCTATTAATGGGCCTTTACTTAATATACAGCTCCTTTTTTTCCTTCCATTGTAAATATTTTCCATTGTGCGTTGGCTGTTGTCATTTTTATTTATTTCCTTAAATCACTTTTTAAATTATTGTTCTACTGCAGTGGTCCTGACTTTTCCCTCTTTGCCCTCCTCCACTCATCCCATCCCCCGCTCCCAGCGTCAGTCCCCACTCTGTTGTCCATGTCCATGGGTCATTCATACGTGTTCTTTGTCTAGGCCCTAACCATTCTTTCCACCATCGTGACCCTCTTGCCTCCCCGCTGGTCACTGTCAGGGTGTTCCATGTTTCCATGCCTCTGGTTCTATTTGGTTCATTAGATTCCTCTTATAGGTGAGATCATAGATGGTATTTTTCTTTTACCACCTGGCTTATTTCACTTAACATTCTACAATTCCATCCATGCTGTTGCCAAATGTAGGAGTTCTTTCTTTCTGCTGCATAGTATTCCATTGTGTAAATGTACCACCGTTTTTTGATCCACTTACTTATGGTGGGCTCTTAGGCTGTTCCTAGCACTTGGCTGTGGTAAATAGCACCATTATGAACATAGAGGTGCATAGGTTCTTTTGAATTGATGATTTGGGATTCTTAAGGTATATATCTAGCAGCAGAATCACTGGGTCAAAAGGCAGTTCCATTTTTAGTGTTTTGAGGAAATTCCATACTGTTTTCCACAGTGGCTGCCCAGTCTACATTCCCACCAACAGTGTATTAGGGTTCTCTTTTCTCTACATTCTTGCCAGCATTGTTGTTTGTTAATTTATTAATGATAGCCATTCTGACAGGTGTGAGGTGATATCTCATTGTGGTTTTAATTTGTATCTCTCTGATGGCTAGTGATGCTGAGCATCTTTTCATGTGTCCATGGGCTCCCTGTGTGTCGTCCTTGGAGAAGTGTCTATTCAGGTCCTTTGCCCATTTTTTAATTGCATTGTTTGTCCTCCTGGTGTTGAGTCATATGAGTTCTTTATATATTTTGGAGATCAAACCCTTGTCTGAGGTATCATTGGTAAGTATGTGCTCCCATTCAGTTGGTTCCCTTTTAATTTTGTTGATATTTCCTTCAGCTCTGCAGAAGCTTTTTGACCTAGGCATGTACCTCTTGCGTGCCCCTCACTGGGGACCTGGCCCGCAACCCAGGCATGTGCCCTGACCGAGAATTGAACCAGTGACCCTTTGGTTCACAAGCTGGCGCTCAGTCCACTGAGTCACACCAGTCAGGGCTGACTGGGTATTTCTTTCTACCTTTCTTCCAGCTCTCTGATTTGGTCCTCTCCTTCATCTAGCCCGATTTTAATTCCTTCTAATGTAGTTTTCATTTCAGATATTGTATTTTACATTTCTTCCTGGTTCGTATTCATAGTTTCTATGTCCTTTTTCATGCTGTTGTAGTTTTCCACTAAGTGTCTTGTAGTTCTAAGTTCCTGAACACACTTACAACAGTTATTTTGAATTCTATGTCTGATAGACTGCTTGCTTCACTTTCATTTAGCTCTTTCTCTAGGGATTCCTCCTTTCCTTTTGATTGGGTGTTATTTCTTTGTCTCCTCATTTTAGGAGACTTTTTGTTTTTGCATCTCAGATTGCTCTGCTTTGCCTGCCTGCCTTCGTGGGGGGGCCTTCTGTGGTAGGCGTTCTGTGGGACTTAGCTGTACAGTCTCTGATCTCCTGATCTGGATGCTCTAGGATTGCCCTTTACTCAGTTTATGTGGGCTCTGTTGTAGTTGGGCTTTGATTATTGGTGGCTCATTCACTGGTGGGTTCTCCTCTCCAGCTCGCTGGTGGAGAATCACAGCCCCCACCACATCTTGCGTGCTGTTGTACAGGTGCTGGCTAACAAAGCAATACTACCCGGAAAACCAAACCCACAGCAGCAAAAATACCCCCCGTCACATCAGTAATGTCAACAGCAACTGAGCAAAGATTAATTAAGGTGGAGAGAGATTAAGACTATTATAAGATAGGAAAAGGGAATATGAGATGACTAAAGGAGAGAAAAATGATTTTGAGCAGGAAGAGGGAGGTGAAATAATAAGAGTAGGGAATAGAAACAAGGTGAAGAAAGAGAGAAAATAAAATTTAAAATATAAGTAAAACAGGGAAGGGTGATGGCAAAATGGAGTAAGAAAAGGAAAGAGTATAATATGAAGTTTGAAATAAAATAAAAAATGTAGTGAACCAAAGAGAATGAAATTGCAGAAGAACCACAACAGGATCATTAACAATGACAGCTGAGCAAAGATTAATAAAGGTAGACAAAGAATAAGAATATTACACAAGAGAGAAAAGAGAGTATGAGTTGTCTACAGTGAAGAAAAATGATTTTTAGAGGATGGAAGGAGGAGAAACAGTAAGAGTAAGGAATAGAATCCAGGCTAAGAAAGGGAAAAAAATAAAATTTCACACTCAAACACGGAAGGGCAGGAGGAAGGCAAAATGGAGTAAGATGGAGGAGAGTAACCTGTAAGATTTGAAATTAAAAAAATAGTGAACAAATAGAAATACAGTTGAAGAAGAATAGCAGTAACTGTAATATCCATACCAAACAAGCCACAATTTATAAAGGCGGAAAGAAAAGAAGGATGTTATAAGAAGGGGTAAAAGAATGTCAGCGGACTAAAGGAAGGAAGAATGAGAGGACAGAAGAGAAATAGTAAGAGTAAGGAATAGGAGCAAGGAATAGTGTGGGGGGAAATAAAATTTACAGTGAAAATTAGGGCAGGAAGAAGGCAAAATGGAGTAAGACAGGGGAAGGGTACAATGTGAGATTTGAAATAAAAATAAAATAAATACAGAAATCTAAATAAAAAGAATAAAAATAAAAGATAAAGAATAGTGAATTAGTTGGAATACAGCTGAAGCAAAAGAAGAAATATTAAAAGGCTATATGAAAGAAAGAAAAAATAATGCAAATTCAGAATAAAAACGAGGTGGAGTTCATCTCAGCAGAGTTTGGTGGTTGCCTTCTGTCCTCTCTTTCTGGATCTGCCTCTGGTTTTTTATCAGCTCAAGGTCCCAGGGTGGTTGGTCCACCTTCTGGCAGCACCGGCTGTGTCACATTCCCTTGCCTCTGGAAGGGACTTCTGGGTCTCCGCTGGGAGGCACTGTTCAGTCTTCTGAGAAAATTGTGGGCGTGTCCCCCCTGTCCCTGCAACACCTGTCTTGGCCTG